TTTTTTTTTAAGAAAAACATAGTTATATCATCTTATGTCATACTTCTTTTTATATTGTTTTAATTAAAAAGTATGACATTTTTATAATAACAGTATGAAAACTTATAAAAGGAGTATGTCTTTTATGGCTAACGTAGCCTAATTTTATATTTATAAGGCATGTAATATTGTCCTGAATTTCTGGCCAATTTTAGAACCAGATAATAACATATCATCTTCAAATTTATGATGGCCAATTACAAGTCAGATTTAAGTACCATACGGAATTAATTGCTTCAATTTTTGCATATAGTGTATTCTATCACAGAAAACATCTAGAACCTTTTGGTTCTTGAGTATGACAAGTTGATGATAAGATGCTCTAATTGCTAGAATAAACAAATTCTTAATATGACCATTGGCCAAACACAATCATGTGCCATCTATAGATTCTTTAATTTACATGGGACCAGATATGTAAATGAAAATTCAAATTCAAAATTATGACTAAGGCATTTGACAATTTAAATATAATTAAACGCTTATTGTTTTAGACTATCCATATTTTGAAATTATAATATGGTTGGGTGATGCATATTAATTTTTTTTTTTTTCATTTTGTACTATAAAAGTGATTAATGTTATTGTAACTAATTTGAAAGTTTGAAAATATTAACACGCATATAAGAAATGCTAGACTAATAATTTAGTCTATATAACTAATAATTTAGCTAGACAAGCTTGTGGCGTACCTCTCACTATTTATAAGGGTAACTAATTGATAAATATTTCTCACTATTTATAAGGGTGTTAAACTGTTTAGTTAAAAAAATTTCGATCCATGAGAAAATTCAGATTATTCTTCTCGCCAACTCCTTAGAACTATTAAAAAATAATAATATTTTATTCTATATAACTATGTTATTATATAATGAACCACTACGGGGAGATTGATTGTAATAAATTAATTTTTATTTTTCACGAAATAATTTCCATGTGACCTGTAATTGAATAATTTTCTTCTGAAAAAAATACTACACTTATTATTATTTTTTTTTACTTCTCAATTTTGTCTATATAATGAAACAATCAAATGTAACTATTACTGTAACTTCAATAAAATTCAATGTTTATTTGTTCAATTTTTTTCAAACTACCAGTCATTTATATTTATTATTTTATTACTCTTACCATATTACCTTTATTACTACATTGACAGTCTAAAAAATATTTAATTGTTCCAATAAACAAAAATAACTTTTGTAACTCACTTTTTTATTTGTGCATTTTTTTCAAATTAATCTACTCCATAAATTCTGGGATGACAACTTTGTGTTTGCCTCGAACAGTCGAACTACATCACGCCCATTTCAAAGTCAAAGACAACAGCAACACTTGTACAAAAGAGCGTTCATACACGTGTTCGACTCTAAATCTCTCTTGTAATTTGTTCTTACCAAGTCACCATAGACCACTAAGAATAGACCACGTCACGACTATTATAATTTAGTTACAACATTAATTAAATAAATAAACGCACATAGTGTTGTTTTATGGAAGTCTCGAGAAAAAAAAGACAGTGGGAATCATTATTAAAGAAAAAAAACTGGGTCCCGCTGTTATACTAAATCACGTTGTTAATTGGTACTACTCGAATGATATTGGTTCACTAGAAAGTTTTAAACCAACTGCCCTCTTTTTTCGAACATCTTGAATTATGGATCAACTTAAAAAAATACTTCCTCCTAGTTTTAAACCAACTGTCCTATACGCAGAAGTATTATAAAAATCTTAGAAAACTTCAAGCTAATTTAATTATCTAATACCAATGAAACCGGACCTAGATTAGGTCGAAATGGATTATTTTACATGTTATGTCGCTAATCAATTGATTGACTCATTTGGCCGAAACATTTTTTTTCTCCTCACGAATTTTAATGCAATATATAAAACAATCATAGTATTGATTTTATTTTATATATTAATTTTAAAATTAATAATTTTACATATACACATCATTTTTATCCTGAGTTCATATATGAAAAAACTTTACATTTAGAGCAGACGTCTTTTTTTATCCCATCTCCGTATCAAACTCTTTTTTGTTCATTTATTGAAAAATATATCTTTTAAGCCCAATCGTCACGAAAGAATTATACAACCAGGCAACAGAGGTCAGATAACTACGACATGACGATTTGGAAGCAATACTACAATGAGTTAAATTACGAACACGATGCATTACAAGTGGCATATGACATTAGGAGTGAACAAAATCGAGCCGAAATCGAAAAATCGAACGGATCCGAGGTATTCAGTGTGGTTTTTTAAGAATTCGGCTAATGGTGCGGTTTGGGTTTTGAAAAACAGCAAATATTTCGGTGCGGTTCAATTTTCTGTCTGAAGGGTGCGGTTTTAACTGAACTGCACCGAATATTACAAAGTGTCACTTTAGTTTTATACTTTTACTTACATTACATATACGATATACAGGCTGCGACTTTGTGAGTAAAAATTTAGACACAACATCTCATAAACATTTACATTTAAAGCTTAAAAATAAAAATTGTATTGTTTGAACATTAACTTGTACCATAATTGACTATTGAGTTTGACATAAACAATACTCTATGCCAATCAATGAATGTAAGTGTGTTCAAATAATAGGACAATTATACTATGTTTATATGACATACTAGACTACTAATATTATGACCCTTCTGGAAATGTTATAAATTGTTTGGATAATGTAAGGTTGTCCAAAACCCAATAAATAAATGTAAGTGTGTTCAAATAATAGGACAATTATATTATGTTTATATGACATACTATAATATGATTCATATCATTATATTTCGATTGTCAACATAACATCAAGTTTTAAAAGTAAAGTACAACCTTTTTCACATCAAGTAAAAATTCGATCATCCAAATTATTACAACAATACAAGAATGCTTGTGCAAGATATCATACCATTCCGTACAATTAATTTATTATTGTAATAATCAGAAAAAACAACATATGCTCAAATTTAAATTCTTCTGATAAATAAACTTATCTTCCATTTTGCAATTAAAATATCCGTAAGACTGGCACACACAACACTTCAACATTTATATATTTTCAACGTATTTTTAAGTTGAAATATTATATTTTAAAAAATAATATAAATAAAAGTATACTATTTCATAATATAAGAGTATACATATGAATTTTTGTTAAAAAAGTATAGCAGGTCGAACAGGAGTGACATTTCTTGTTCCAATCTTATTCTATTTCATATTTCATTCTATTAAATATAAGCCATATGTCTATTATCAAGTCATATTTGTATACATGTCATGCATCAAACGAAATAGAATATCAAATATGCTTTCGGTCGAACAGCTAACAGTTGGTCCAATTTTCAAGAAAGTGTGTTAAAATATGGACTAAAACTATTTTAACATAATGGGATAACAATGTATAATGATTGTTAATTTTAAAAATAATGTAATGAATAAAATAATAAAATCATGAAAATACATGTTATTATATCTATCAAAGTTGATGTTATATACACTTTTAATAAAATATAATATGTGTTTACATTAAATAAAGTTCACCACTTGCTGCATATATAAACGTTGCTAGCTCTCTCCACCATCAAAGCCTTCTTCATTTTTCTCTCTCTGCCTCTTCTCTGTTTCTCTCTCTACATTTTCACCTTCTTTCTACATTTATCATCAGTCAAATAATATTTTTTCTTTATTATCTAATATTTTTTCTGGTTTTTTTCTTGGCTCAGCAATCATACTTGGGCTCTGATTGGCTCTCCTTTTTGCTGATCTCTGAGGTAAGCATTTAGACGTAACTAAACCATATGTGTTTATAAATATTATTTCTTTTTTTTTTCTTTGCTTTAAATTGCTCTTTAACTTAATCAGATGAATACAAAAATCGTTTTTAGGTACAAATAATTTGAAAGTAGATTAAAGTTCTGTTCTCTTCCCGATAGTAACTTAGAATAATTGTCCTGCCTAATTAATTTTCGTATATTATTACATCTTCAGCTCTGTTCATCTCTGTATGTCTGTGTGATACTTTATTTTCCATCGCTTTACTTCAGAGTTTTTATTTTGTTTTCATTTATGATTCTTAAACACTTTTGTTTTGACAGTAATTAAGTCTGATGTTAGGCATGACATTTTTCAGTATAACTATGTATTTATGTTGAAAATTATGATGTATTGGTCCGTCTAACTGTTAGGCTGCCTAGGACAGGAATTTGAGTCACAAATTCTTATATGAGAGAGCTTAATCGTTCGTGGTCGATCCATCATACTTTTCTAACAAAANTTATTATGTAATGAAATGAAATATAATTTTTATGTTATTTTTTAAATATGACATTACAGCTTAAAATATTTAGTTTGCCTCACAACAACTTTACTTTTTAATTATATGTTACTCATAACTGGAAATTATGAGAGGTAAAATTATCTACACCAGCTTTACTGTTTAATTATCTGCTACTCATAACTGGAATGTAAAAGAGGTAAAACTATTTACATTTATGGACTTTGATTAGAATCACAAGTTAGCTTGCCTGATTCATTGTTTTATGTTGCATATCATTTTCATCAGATCAGAGTCAGACAAAGCTGTGAATTTTCTCGCAAAATCAAACTTTGAACATTAAACAAACAATCATGAATTTGTTTTTGCTGTAAGAACCGAAATTACTGACTTCTGAAACAGAGTAGATGATGCCATAAGTCACACACACTTGACCAAACTTTCTTTACTAAGCAAAAATCGCGAATACTTAGAAATTTTCTACACATCCTAGGTTTGAATCAAAATGGCGGCGCGTTGACTGAAAAAATTCGAGTCAAATGTCAGTATCCTCTTTGACAAGCTACTTTCTTGAACAATAAATACTCTGCCTCCCCACATATATTTTTTTCTAACTTCTTACACTGCCTTCACAGATTAAACTACCAAAAGAGAAAACTTTACTTTAATCGGCTTTCGATCAATGGCAAATCGTGTTTTGAGTCGTGTCCACAGTCTCCGTGAGCGCCTGGACGATACTCTTGCCTCTCATCGTGATGAAATAGTACTATTTCTATCAAGGTCCACATTTTTTGTTTTCCTCTAAATTAAACCCCATAATTTAGTTGTGGGCTAATCATTTCAATGCACTAGTTTTATTTCACTTAAAAATGGTAATTATGGTAGGCTTGAAAGCCATGGAAAGGGAATTCTAAAGCCTCACCAGCTTCTCGCCGAGTTCGAGTCCATTATCCAATCGGGTGATGCTAAAGGACTTCAAGATCATGCCTTCAAACAAGTTCTCAAGAGCACACAGGCATATATATACATACATATATATATATATATATATATATATAATCGATTTTCTTAATATTATTCGTATCCCATTAAATATGTATTTTTCTTTTTTTGACGTTGTTTATAGGAAGCAATCGTGTTGCCTCCTTGGGTTGCGCTTGCTATCCGGCTAAGGCCAGGTGTGTGGGAATACATACAAGTCGATGTTAAGGCATTGGCCATGAAGGAACTAACCGTGCCCGAATATCTGCAATTTAAGGAAGATCTTGTGGATGGACCGTAAGCTTCGGTTTTTTCGTCTTTTCGTTTGTATGCCATTGATTGATCTCTATTGTGGTCAACTTTCTATATTTTGTAGTTTGAACGGCAACTTTGTCCTCGAGCTCGATTTCGAACCATTCACCGCGTCTTTTCCGAAGCCGACGCTCACAAAGTGGATAGGTAACGGCGTGGAGTTCCTAAATCGGCACCTCTCGGCAAAAATGTTTCACGACCGAGATAGCATGACCCCACTCCTCGATTTCCTCCGGTCCCACCACTATAAGGGCAAGGTGAGTAATTTGTCACTTGAGTTAGTTTGATCATTTTCTTGATATTTTCAATCAGTTTTGCTATGAAGCCAACAGTTGGTTTCTTAGTGGAGCCAACCTTCTATATACAACAAGTAAACCATCTTATATTCTCTGATTACTTAAATTTCTAATAATTTTATTAATATGGTATGATTTACTTGTTGTATATAGAAGGTTGACTCCACTATGGAGCCAACTGTTGGCTTCATAGCAAAACTGTATTCTCAATTATGGGATTATTTATTTTCTTTTTTTCTTCTTCGACAGACTTTGATGTTGAACGACCGAATAAGGAACCTAAACTCTCTCCAATCCATGCTGAGGAAGGCCGAGGAGTACCTATCCACACTTTCTCTGGACACGCCGTACGAGGATTTCGAGCACAAATTCCAAGAAATCGGGCTCGAGAGAGGGTGGGGAGACAAAGCCGTGCGCGTGTCCGAAATGATATCTATGCTTCTCGACCTTCTAGAAGCTCCCGATTCTTGCACTCTAGAAAGATTTCTCGGGTGGGTCCCTATGGTCTTCAACGTTGTCATTCTTTCGCCTCATGGATATTTTGCTCAGGAGAATGTCTTGGGTTATCCGGACACCGGTGGCCAGGTATGTACAGCTGGTGAAATTCGAGCTCGGTCTGAATATTCTTTTTAGGGGATTTTGGACATTTTATTTTTTGTTTTTGCTAGGTTGTCTACATTTTGGATCAAGTTCCGGCTTTGGAGCGTGAGATGGTCAAACGTATTAAGGAACAAGGACTTGATATCGAGCCACGGATTCTCATTGTTAGTTTAATTACGATAATTGTCCCGTTAGTGTAGCGTAATTGCAAAAAGGACCTCAATTTTTTTTTTCTCTTTTGAACTTACAATTAATAGGAAATTTTGGCAACTAAGCTACACTTCAGGGGATGTTTTTTGTGATTACTTTTTTTTGTTATTACCGTTTTTTACGAATGCTCGGTTTTTATTTTTTTTATCTTGCAGGTGACTCGATTACTTCCAGATGCAGTTGGAACAACTTGTGGCCAAAGGCTCGAGAAGGTTTTTGGAACCGAGCACTCGCACATTCTCCGAGTCCCTTTCAGAACAGAGAAAGGGATTGTTCGGAAATGGATTTCTCGATTCGAGGTGTGGCCAAACATGGAAACTTTCACCGAGGTGAGTGAGATGATCATTTAAATTTCACACTGTTGACTGCAAATTTATTGGCCAACATCAACTTTAAAATCCTTAATTCAACTCTCATTTTTTCGTTTCGGTTTAGGACGTCGCTAAAGAAATTACGGCAGAACTGCAAACGAAGCCCGATTTGATAATTGGCAACTATAGTGAGGGGAATCTTGCAGCTTCCTTGCTTGCTCACAAGTTAGGTGTAACTCAGGTATTTTTATTTCAAAATTTAAGGCAAATGTTTATTTCAGTAAGTACTTTATATATAATTGTGTTCTGCATTATTTTAAAATTTTATTTAAAATTTAAAGCAAATGTTTATTTAAGGCAAATGTTTATTTTCAGCTTCCTTGCTTCCATGACGTGCGGGCTCCCGAATTTCGCCACCGTGCACGGCGGGCCCGCCGAGATTATCGTGCACAGGAAGTCGGGCTTTCACGTCGACCCGTACAATGGGGAGGAGGTCGCGGGTGTATTGGTCGATTTCTTCGAGAAGTGCGAGGCGGACCCCGCGCAATGGGACGCAATCTCGGTTGGCGGCTTGAAGCAGATTGAGGAGAAGTAATTACGGAAATGCCCCTCAATTTTTTTTTTTTT